CGGGGGGCAACGGCGACAGGTTTGCAGCCCGGCAAAGTGGCACAGAGAGGAGGAGGAGGAGGCTGATGAAGGGATGGAGCAAAGCCATGATAGGTGCAGCAGGGGTGTGTGAGCTGGGCAAGGTGCAACTGGCCGGCAGTAGGACTAGGGGATGCCTGCAGTCATGCTTCTCCCTGGAGAGGCAGAGCTGATCGTAGGCACCAATAAAAGGAGACCCTAGGGTGCTGCCAGCCGCTATGAAGCCAGGACAGCCATGCCAGCTGCTTCAACTTGGCACAGGAAAAAAATGTGAGAGGCTCCGTTTGCAAAAAAGGAATGCAATTTCCAGACTAAAATGCAGACCGGGGCAAAGCCAGCCGGACAGGAGCCTGGCTACAGGGACTGTAAAGTGCCAGGGTAGGGGAGTGAAGTGGGATGGGGAGTGAAGCGGGATGGGGTAGGGTGGGGTGGCGGGGAACCAGCTCGCTCAGCCCACCTGCTCCTGGCCCACCTCCTCCTGCTGGCTAAGGGGTCCCGCCCCCGCCTCCCATTTTAAAGGCACGGCCCCAGACACCGTTTAAAGGGCCAGAAGCTCCCCGAGTGTCAGAGGAGGGGACCTGGAGCCTGGCGGAGTGCTCTGCTGCTGTGAGAGTCCCTCCAGCTCCCTCCTGCCCTGTGCCGACTCTCCTGCGGCGGGCTTGGCACCTTCATACCCACTGCTACAAACTGGTACACGCTGCTCAGAATATGCATAGAGCGGGGGTTCTGCTTACAGCCTGGCCCGGCCACACAGCCAGGCTGTCCACTGCCTCACGTTCCCCCCCTGAGAGATGGGCATTGTGCCCAGGGACCGTGGCATGGAGGCACACAAATGAGCAGAATCAGCTGGTGGTGCCCATGCTGCAGGCATCACTATGCACAGAGCTTTGCTGGGCTTGGCTGTCCCAGCACCATGGTCTTTCCAGGGTCTTTCCAGCACGTGGCCAGTGCTCATTCAACTTCCAGCACAAGTCATTTGAGGCATTGCCCCTACAGGGGACATTGCCCTCAGTCCCTATGCCACTGTGTGGCTCTCTGGTGCTTGCTCAAGGCAGGCTCTGCAGGTGCAGGCAGCCACAGCCCATGTCTTCACAGAGTGCTCAACACTGTGCCCAGCCCCTCCAGGGCACTGCCAGGATGGAGATGGACACTCTGGTTGGGAACCACCAGTGCAGGCATAGGGATATGGGGGAGTAGGTTTCTTTTTTTGTGTCTGCCTTGCCCTGGGTGCTGCCCACATGTCCCAGTGCCAGCAGTACAGTGGTAAGAGCTGGGAGGCCATGTGGGGGGTGCCGAGGGGTGGGGATGCAGTGCTTAATGGGGTGTGGGGCCACGTGATGAGCCAGGACACAGAACCCTCACGCCTGGGCAGGCAGCCCTGGTTACTGATTTGGGAAAGGGCACAGGGGCAGCTGAGCCCAGTGGAGGCTGGGAAAAGTCCGGACATGGCAGAGGTCGGCCATGAGTGGAGGCACAGCAGGGGCAGCAGCTGTCAGGGAAGAGCAAGAGTCAGGCCAGAAGCGAACATATCAAGGCTGTGTGAGAGGGACCATGCACCACTGCTGGGTGGGCTACTGTGCCACAAACAGCCTGGGGATTGCTCCCTGTGGCATGGGACCCCCTGGCACAAGGACAAGGCTCCTGTTCTGGCCTGCCTGCAGCCAGGCTGGGCTGGGCTCAAGGCAGGCACAGGTGGACCAGGGCTGCCAAGAAAAAATTGAGGACCCCTTCCTGCACCACGCTGAGCAGCCCCGGGGGCAGCTCACCAGCCCGGCACACCAAGCCCACCTGCCTGGCCGGCAGGCAGCCGGAGCCACAGGCACTGTTGGCAGGGCAGAGCTCTCCAGATCAGCTGCACTGTCTGGGAAGGAGATGAGTAAGAGCCAGGCCCCCGGGTGGGAAGGGGAGGAGCAGGAGCCTGGGCTTCCCGAGGAACCAGCACCAATCCATTCCCACTGCTCCAAGCTGCTGCCCGCCACCTCCTTCCCCTGCCTCAGTTTCCCCAAATGGGCACAGCAGCTCCTCCTTGACCTGAGGGGAAAAGGCGGAGGTGAAGCACGGCCCTACTGCCATGTACGCCCCGGGGTGCCCAGCAGGACAGGGTGGGGGCTGGAACAGGCAGGCCAGGCAGGAGCCGGCAGCGTGTGCTGGCCCCAGGCAGGGGGGCACGGGGCGCCAGCCTGACTGCCAGGGCGGGTTTGCTGCGGGGAGCCCTCTGCCCTGGGGACCTGTGGTGGGTGCTGACTACCCCCCCTGCCACCCAAGCAGGTCCTCCTCGCACCCCCATGAGCACTGCCGCACTGCCACTGCGCTGGGCTGAGCTGTGCCAGGCCAAGGCATGCCGTGCCAGGCTGAGCTGGCACTCATGGTACTGGTCCCTGGCAGCACCATACAGTGTTGGTCCAAATTAGGTCGTCCTGTGCTGAACTGAAACAGACAAAGCTAAGCCAGGCCAGGCCATGCTGTGCCAAATCAAACCATGCCAACCCTGCTTGTCCATGTCAACTTGAGCTGAACTGCACTGAGGTAAACTGGGCCAGGCCAAGTAGAGCCAATCAAGCCTGGCCCTTGGTGGTGTTATGCTGGACCAAATGGAACAGTGCCATCCCTGTGTCATGCCACGCTGAGCTAATTCAAACTAGAACATGCCAACCCAGCTGAGCTGCACTGGACCATGCTGGCCCCCTTGCCATCCTATACTGCACTGAGCCAAATTTTGCCAGGCTGAGCTGTGCTGTGCCATGCTGTGCCATGCTGAACTGAACTGTGCCAGCCCTCCATGTCACACCATGGTGTGCTAAGCCAGACTGAATTGAACCACACAAAGTTTGGGCTGTGCCAAGCTGAGCCAAGCTGAGCTAAGAAGCACAGTGCTGTGCTGTGCCATTGTGTGATGAGCCATACCAGGAGCCGAGTTGTGCCATGCTGTGCTG